AAGTGGTTTGCTGTTCGGCTGAGTTTAAAAGACTATTCTCTACACAAAATTCTACGCTGATGTCAGATTTTTCTTCAAATTTCAGTTTCCTCTACGCGATTTCAAAAATTCAGAATTGTAAAAAAAGAAAATAAACAGAAAATAAGGAAGAAAATAAACAGATGATTTTTTGGTAAAAAGAAATGTTGTGGCAAAAAATGTTCGACGGCAGCATTTTAATAACAATTTGATCCAGTAGTAGACTAGCACTGGAGTATGCGAAGCAGTCCGAATCTTTTAGCTTGTTTATAAAGCAATCCTACAACAGAGGGTTATCGACAATCTTGCCAATCAGCGGCTGCTGCTTGCAATGTGCTACATCTCCGACTGTGCCTGAGTGCCACCTTTTTTCAATAAAGAATAGAAAGAGGTTGTGGCTACTACTAACTGTTAATAGTAATAATAGGAAAAGCGAGAAATCAAAATTTTTTGGTGATTAAGACAATGATAACAGGCAAATATTGTCTAAAATACCAGATTTACCGTAAATGGCGATCCAATTTACTGATGCTACTACAATGCTCCCACAAACCAATGGAACTTGTAAAGACCCTGATGTTATTCTGGACAATAATAGTTTATTGTAGTTTGTAAAAAAGTTACAAAAAGCTACCAGAGCTTCAGGGATGTTTTCTGGAGCTCAAATGCGAGGTGTGTTCGCCGACTTTCGCGTCGTGAACACAGCGCTGGTGACGGACAGTCATGTTTCAACAATGGATCCATCTATCACAGGTCGTTGCCTCTGCAACTAGCCGCACCAGCGACCAAAATGTTTTGAAACCCATTCGCATAATCATCCTACCTGGGGCACATGCTCAATGTGAGACGCATCGCTCAGCTACAAACTAAAGAATCCCATCTACCATTGTTTTTCCTGCAGATCCTGTGCAGCCCTAGTAGGCCTAAATTTGATAACATTCAAGACATTGAAAGATTCTGTGAGACGAAAGAACATCAATGCGAGCTTCGAGACCGGGTTTGAAAGGCGCAAAATGCTGATCTCGGATTTATTACCCCTCTCGCAAAAGCGCTATTTTTAAAAATTCGGTATATATGTATAAATATATGCAGATGAATTCAGTGCACAAAAATATCAGCTATACACTAGGCCTGCGATGAATCAGTAGAGGAATTCGGTCGATGGGCAAAAAGCATAGGGTATCTTGTGGCTGATAAGAGAAGGAACTGAATTAGCCAGTGGTTGATGATGACCTGGACAAACTCAGTTCCGCTCTGTCATCTCCTTCCTTTCTCAGCATTCCTTATCCAGGAAGATGTCCCTGCGGCTCTAATGCATAAATAAACACTTGGTAGTGGAACGAAGGCT